ATTTCCTTTCAACTTTTTGGGACCACCCGCGCAGAAAACTCTCTTTTATTAGAGAAATAAAATGCAAACGAAGAAAATATGAATATCTTTAGATATTGTTTTCTCTAGAACTTTAACAATAATAACAGCAATTTCATTCCGTTTGAAATTGAAATTGAAATCTTAAATTTCATTCCGAAGATGATATGAGTAGATGGATTTGGAATGGTTCATTTTAATGATTTATACTTGGGGAATGAAAAAAAAATCTGGAATTGAATTTGCATGTTTTTTAATTTGGAAATTTGATATTGTTGGAGTATTTCATCTACTTTGATTAAGGAGAGAAGAAAGAGAAAGATAAATTTTTACGTTAATTTTAATGTTAGAGTATTGAGTTTGTTTGTGTTTGATTGAGTTATTATAATATTTTTAAGCTGATTTTATTAATATATCTTTAAATTGATTTTATTATTATATTTTTGTTTGGGTTTATTAATTTGAACATTTTCATGTTAATTTTTATTTAGGTTGATTTTATTAATATATTTTTAAGTTATTATTATTGTTATTATTATTATTAATAAAAATAAATTTAAATTAATTTTAAAATTATTTGACATTGACACATCAGCAAACTAGTACTACATTATTAAAAATAAATTTCAAATGAAAAAAAGGACTAAAATCAAACACAAAATTAAAAAAAAAAAACTAAAGTAATAATTTTTTAAATGAGAGAATCAAAATAAAAAAATAAAATAGAAGAACAAAATTATAATTAAATATCTTTTTATAAACAAAAACATGATTCCAAAAAATGTTATTTGATACCTTGAAATAAACATACTCTTACTTAAGAATTACAACAACAATAATTAAATCTTATCTCAATAAATGAGAGTCGGTTATATATATCAAATCTCATCATAATGTTATACTCCATCTATCTCAAAATAAAAATCTTTTAAGATTATTACACATAGATTAAAAAAAATAATGATTGAATATAACAATTTTACAAAAATGTGTTTAATTACTATTGATTGTTTTAAAGGTGTAATGTGATGTAATATTTGAAAGTTGTGTATATAAGATTTATTAAGGGTAAAGTTGATAAAAATTAATTATTATTGCTTTGAAAACCTAAAAAGACTCTTATTTTAGAACAAATTTCTTTGACTAGAAAAACTTTTATTTTGGGACAGATGGAATATCTAAATTTATGCTTATCTCTAATTCATTAATATTTCTTAATATTTTCGTTTATAATTTTTCTAATTCTTCATCTACATCTAGGTGTTTAACTCCTCATCCTCTTGTCTACTCTCCTTACAACAAAATATACAAATCTTACTGCTCAAACCACCAAGTTTATTTTTCATTATCTTTTTTATTATGGGTGCCACTGCAATACACTCTCTAATATTGTCATTTTAAAACTTATTGTGTCTAGTTTTACCACACATCTAACACAACATTCTTAATTCTGCTACACTTATTTTATTCTCATGTTGATTATTAACCACTCAACATTTTGTCACGTACAACATTGTAGGTCTTACTAATGTCCGAAAAAATAAATTGTATTCAGCTTAAGCGGTACTTCTATGTCATATAAAACTCATGAGACTCTCTCTCATTTCAGCCTGTTGTGAATCTTGTTGTGAATTACGACAAAATTCAATATTAATTTGTGAGGCAAAGAACAATAGCAACCAAAATAAATGGTCTTCGGCAATAATAATATGTACATAGATAATATAACAAAATAAGGCAAGAAAAAAAATCGAACATTTGTTTACCCAGTTCGATCAAACGATCTACTCTGGGGGAGAGAGCAGCTCTCTAATTCACTATACTCAAAAAGTTGTTACAAGAGATTACAGATGAGTTACAAGAAAATATCCTTCGCCTTCAGGTTCCCAAGAACAACCCTGAAGGCGCCCAAGAACAACCCTGAAGGCGCCCAAGAACAACCCTGAAGGCGCCCAAGAACAACCCTGAAGGCGCCCAAGTGTTTCCGACCTCTCTAACTCTCAATATATGAATCACTCAAATCTAAGGTGTAATCCAAGATTTTCTTTGTGCATAGCTGAAACCCTATGCTATACATTTAAACCCTTAGTCTCCCTTATTAGTGAAAACTCTAAGATTGTCACACACAAAGCATATAAAAGATACATATTTATAATAGCAAATACTCAACAAAAAAAGTCCAAAATCACATGGATCCATGGCCCGAATTGAAAAAACTCAAAAACACTATTCACCGTACAAACAACACTATTCACCGTACGAACGATACTATTAACCGACCAATTTTTTTCTCGACTTTTCGTCTGATTTTCGCGGTAAATGCGATCTCCAAAATATGTTTTATTTCTCTTCATCATCAAAGGTTTTAAGACACATTTATAATAGTCTCCACCTTGACTTTAAACCGTGTTGATACCAATTTAGCAATCAACAACATTGTTGTTCTCTACCAAGTTGAAACTTTGATCAATAACTTTGATCAAATTCAAGCATCCCTTGAATCTTGATCTCGTAACTTGCATCCACTTGTTCCCAATTACCCTTTTCTGCCTAGGTAATTTAACAAGCCTACAAGTACGATTTTTCAACCACCCTTAACTCCACCTGTTTTCAAATGCCTCCTTAAAGGTTTTTCTTCTTTTATTTTGCATTCCTTCAGCCACATTAAAAAAAACATAATATTCAAGGCTCACATAACTGTCCCTTTGAGATGCTACGATAACCCTCCTTACGTTATCATTAGTCAAATAATAATCAGAGATCTTTGTAATTATTCCCTCACTACTGTTAGCATCCATAGAAGGAAACTCCACCTCAAACTGAGTTTTCTCGGTTATAGTTTCTCCCAGGTTTCTCCCTTGATTTTCACTATTCTTCTTCTGAAGAAATACTCTACCAACCAAGTAAGTTGTTTTAACATCAGCTCTTCTCCAAAAACTCAATAACAACTCAACGATAACATGCATTTTTATTCCTTGATTTCTGCAAATTCCATTGTATGCCTCTAAAACTTTCTCAAGGCATTCATAACGCCTTAAACTCAAATCTCATAGTTCTTTCTTGTCATGAAAGCCTTCATTAGTTAACGATGAATGAATAATAACATTTGAACCTTCTAAAATATATAGACCACATATTGTAGACCCTTTAGCAATAATTAGTTCATCACGCAAAATCTTCAACGCTCCACGTTCAACTCTAGTACAATAGCCTAGATCATCAAACATACTTATAGCTAACAAATTTCTCTTGAGTTCTGGAATATACCTTACATTGTGAATAAGAAGTTCACGATCATTAGACATTTTAAATCTGACCGTACCAATACCATGAACCTTGCATGTTTTATTATTACCAAGGAGAACTACTCCATCTTGCACCATCTTCAAAGTTTCAAAGTATTCTATTCTTGGACACATGTGATAAGAGCAACCTGGGTCAATGAACCAACTATCTTCAGTTTCCAAACTCGATACTGATAGTGCTTCGGCATCCTCATAACTTTCCTCATCCAATGCAATTACAACTTGAAAAAAATCTTCATTGACCTTTCTTTCAGGACAATCCCTTTTAAAGTGATTGGTCACTAACCATCCTAAACTATCTCATGTAGCTAATAGGTCATGGACTACACAAGTAGTAGTCACATGTCAAACATGGTGTATAGATCATTAATCATCCTAAACTATCTCATGAGAACTCTTTCTTGTGCTTCATGAGCATACATATAGAATTATACATATAGACTGGGATTGTCAAAAATCTCACACTTAACTAAAGAGATAAATCATGTATCATGTGCCTAATAGAGATATACATCCAGACTAGGATCTTCACTATTTATATCTGAGGCCATGTTATATAAGTGAACCGCCTAATGTCACTACATGGTTAAGTTACTTCATGGTGAACTAAGGGTTTGCTCGTTAAGTAAATGGACAGTGCGTACAACGAAGCATTGCAACTATGGTCACTTGTTAGACAACCAGTATTGCTTAATCTAAAAGAAAGTAGACTCGTTGGATAAGGATGGGCGATGCGCCTGACAAAGGCCCTTATCAACAACTATAGATAGGGTTATCCAATTCATTGCAAATGGAGTTTGAGTGGAGTGAGTTAGTACAAAATTGAAGTAGGTTCACCTTGATCTACAACTGAAAAAAAAGAGAGGAAGATTGAAGGCATAAACACTACTGTGATAGGGCAGATAAACTTTCAAGTTCATCTTCGTGGGATTACCAACATAACTATAATGAGTAAGCACAGCGAAAAATATATTTATTGAGAGAGAAAAAAACATTTTTTTAAATAGAGAAAAATTTTATCATTTAAAAAAAAAAGATTTTATATAGAATGATAAATGATTGCTTATCATTAACACATTTTTAATTTTTAGAATACTATAACAACATAAAGTATATTTGAACAATTTTTCTAAACCCTCCAAATACACTTTCAACACAATTTTGTAGTTCCTCCAAATTAAGAAAAATTTAATTTGTGAATGAAAATAAATCCTCCAAAATCTGTCTCACTTAAATCCTCTTATTCTTTTCACTCAATATTTTTCTTTTTCTTTTTTCAAAACCCTCTCCATCACTCCCCTCCAAATTTTCAAACAAACAAATCTTTAAAAGACGTATATACATTGATGTCGACACAAGCATTCACATGGATACAAGAATTTTTTCAAAATGTAGATATGAAATTGACTATTATAATACCCAGTTTAAACGCTACTTATTTTTTCACACGTTACTTAATGTCAAAAGTGTTGCAACTTTTTTTCAAAACATTACAACACATAATTTGAATAGATAAGTATTAACATGCTAGTAAGTTACGTTTGTTTTTAGAATTTAAACTCTAGATTTATATATTATTTGTATCTCTATTATGCCAGCTACTGGTAGGGACCATATAATCTGCACCCATGCTATATATGTATTATGTCTGACAATCAATATGTGATAGGAAAACCAATGGCTCTCAAAAAATGGTCACATGAACAAATTACAGAAGCTTCTTCTTCTCTCTTTTTTCCATCTCTTTTTTTCCTTATAAGTCTGTTGATTGTGTTTAAGTTTGCATTTAGAAAAACCAAATCCAAAACCAGTTTAAATCAGCTTCCTTATCCACCAAAGCTACCGTTCATTGGTAATCTTCACCAGCTAGGAACACTTCCACATCGTTCACTTCGAGACCTATCACTCAAATATGGCAACATGATGATGCTGCAGTTAGGACAAAAACAAACTCCAACTCTAGTGATTTCATCAGGAGAAGTAGCCATGGAAATCATGAAAAATCATGATATAGTTTTCTCAAACCGACCACAACATATAGCTCCAAAAATCTTACTGTATGGATGTACGGATGTTGGTTTTGGAAATTATGGAGAAAATTGGAGACAGAAAAGAAAAATATGTGTTCTAGAACTTTTGAGTGTGAAAAGTGTAAAATCGTTTCAGGTTATTAGAGAAGAAGAAGTTGAAGAAATGGTGAGTATGCTACGTGAAGCTAGCTTGAACAATGCATGTGTGAATCTAAGTGAGATGTTTGTTTCAGTAACAAACAATATTGTTTGTAAGAGTGCTCTTGGAAGGAAGTGTGAAGGAGAAGTGAAAGAGTTAGCAAGAAAGGTTATGATTTATATTACAACTTTTGTTGTTGGAGATTATTTCCCTTCTTTGGGTTGGATTGATGTTCTTAGTGGAAAAATTAGGGAATTTAAGGACACTTTTCAAGCACTTGATGATTTGTTTGATAAAGTGATTGAAGAGCGTTTGGCTTTGAAGAAGATGGAAAATGATCAGTTCAAGAAGAAAGGGTTTGTGGATATTCTTCTTGAGTTACAAGAGGATGGCATGCTTGGCTTTGAACTCACCAATAATGATGTTAAAGGAATTCTAATGGTAATTTTCTCTCTTTTATCACTTTTTTTTTTGTTTCATGTACACTTTCACTTCATTCCTCAAAAATACAATACAATAAAGATAGAGCAATTTTGTCTTCACATGATTAATCATAGTGATAACATATTCTAGTTAATTAATTTAGGGTTAGGTAAGAAGATGCTTTTTTCTTTAACTAATATAAAATTTGGATGTTTCTAATAGTCCAACTAATAATGCATTAACAAGTGATTCATAAACATAAAATTTAACTACAATACAATATTTAGGATATGTTTGTTGGAGGAACAGACACAACATCAGCAACATTAGAATGGACAATGTCAGAGCTCATGAGACATCCATCCACAATGAAGAAAGCACAAGAAGAAGTAAGAAGAGTTGTAAGCAATAAATCAAAAGTTGAAGAAAGTGACGTAAATCAAATGCACTATTTAAAATGTGTAGTGAAAGAAATTCTAAGGTTACATCCTGCTACTCCTCTAATGGCTCCTAGAGAAACAATATCAAGTGTGAATCTAAAAGGGTATGATATTCCTGAAAAAACAATGGTGTATGTAAACAATTGGGCAATACAAAGAGACCCTAAAAATTGGGAAAATCCTGAGGAGTTTATGCCAGAGAGATTTGAACACTGCCAAGTTGATTTTAGAGGTCAAGATTTTCAGTTCATTCCTTTTGGTTTTGGGAGAAGGGGGTGTCCTGGAATGAATTATGGAATCACTGCTGTTGAATATATACTTGCTAACATTCTTTATTGGTTTGATTGGGAAAAAAAGTCAGGTAAAGAAGATATAGATATGAGTGAAGCATTTGGACTTGTTGTTTCAATGAAAGAACCACTTCAGCTTAAACCAATTGCATGTTCATTTTAATCTAGGTTCCATGTGTTTTTTTGTAATAAACTTTAAATGTTGTTGTAATAATTTTAAATATCTATGCTTTGTAATAAGGTCAAAGGTGTTTGGGGAATGTTTCATAAATATCCCATTTATCTATATATCTATTATACACATATTTTCCTTCATATTCAAAATAAAAATTAAGTATTATTCTATCATGTTAAAGCTATATAAATATTCAAGGTGTGTTATTTTTTATGATAATGATTATGGAAGTATTGTTTTTTAAGTTAAATTTTGTAAGATGATAAATTTTAGGTGTGTGGTTATAGATCGTTAAAAATCTTTTTTTATTGTTCTTGAGAATTCCATATTTCATCTTTTAGAATTCAGTGTTTTTTTGGTACTTAAATTCTAAAATTTGAAAACACCATATAATTCACACCCCTTTCTTCTTTCTCTAACTTTCTTTATAAGCAAGAATTTCATTTCACAATGGATAATAGGGATAGCACAATTTTATTATAATCTTCTAGCAACTAAAGTTACAACATAGAACAAAAACTAAATAAACTCTTATGGGTATTTACAAACAATTATATGTTTTGATCGCGTTACTAACTACTACGAGAGGAAAATAATTATGTGCACAATTTTTTCCGGATCTCTAACTTCATTGTTGAAAAGGATTTGATGTCTGACCCACCAGATACACCAACATACCACAAACCACAACCTACATGTAGAAAACTTGGAATACATTCCCCTCAATTTCTCTATCTATACCAACAAATGATTATATCACATATTTTCATTTATCCCATCTACCTCAAATCAGTCACAGATTTTTCTCCATATTAACTTGATCTTTGCACAATTAATGAAAAGATGATGAAAGTCTTCATTAAAACCAAAACAGAAGACAAATACTAACTCATGGGAGGTTGAAGATGATCTCACGCCTGGCAAGATTCACACGCGTTGGGAGCCTATCTAAGAGCAGTCTCCAGCCGAACACCTTGGTCTTCGAAGGTACAGTCGTCTTCCACAAAATCCTCATTGTTTCCTTGCATACGGCATCCAAATTTCCTCCTTTCAGCAATACTAACAACCTATCATAGTATGACTTAACAGAAAAATAATTCAAGGAGTCAAACGGCCATATGAAAACATCATGAGAATCCTTTTTGGGGCAGACATCCTGCAGTAACAAGAGAAGCTCATCATATTCTTCCTGTAGTAAAACATCTTCTTTCGAGATGTTGAAGCCCAACCGCCACCTCCACACATCACCTTCTCGCACACTCATATCTTTCACACCCCATGTTTCCTATCCGAGATACCACACAAACCCGAGTAAAGATTGTGCAGGGTCATATTACCTATCCATCTAGCAAACCAGAATGGCGCACCAGCTCCATCACCTAATCTGAAGGAAATTAAATAAACAAATTCAATAACCCACATCTGTTCTCCATTCTACAACACATCCTTCCACCACAAGGATTCGTGAGATTTTGATCTTGAGGGCTCTTTACATATTATAGTTTTAACATAATTTCCATATCTTCCTGTCGCATCCTAATTTTTTACCATAAGATTCCGCCTCTTTGTGCTTATTTCCTGCTTGTGTTTTTTTACTTTTTATACGACTAATGAGTGTGTGCAAGATAATTTTGCTCTGAAGACAGCTCGGTCGGATCCTTACGACTACATCCCTTCAAGTTAGAGTTTTATTTCTTCTCAACGTTTTTCTCTGCATCAGAAGAAGCTCGTCAAGACAAGATTCATTTAAGAAATGAGATCACAGTGGTAGCAAAGTTCGATTTATACTGCCCTGAAGTCAATTGGTGCTTGGCATGTGGATTAAGTTGCTCAGATTAAAAATCAAATCCAAGTCATCGTTCTGGTCCAAATACTCGAATTTAAGATGTAATCATCCAATTATGAGTTCAAACGCACCATTCGCCAATCCAAACTCACTTCAAGTAAATTAAAGTCACCTAGTTTCAAAGATTCAAGATTACATCCATGGTCACTAAAGTATAAGTTACAAGTATTGAAGACAAGCTCATTCAAATGAATCTTTCGAAATCTTTTAGAAAAACGCCATCCCAAGGTCATGCGGCCAAGTTTACAATGCGCTCTGTTTGTTCATCAAGTTCCTCAAATTCAGTTTAAAGTCAATAGGTTTATGGAACCAATCTGGAGTTCAAAAGTGTGAGAATAGCAAACATATTTGAGGAGTTCATCATTTTTTTTTACAGTGGACTACTCAGATTTCCTTTTAATTGCATGAAAGTTCAGAACTGAATTTTTATTTCTTGGAAACCTCAAACCAACTTCAAGGATCTTAAATTCATTCTCAAAAAACTCAAGCAAAGTACAATAGGTATTGATGTTACAAATAGGACCATAAACTACTGCTACTCATTTGCAACCGCAAGCCTCAGAGCTTCCGTTTTGATAATATCCCGCCTACACTTGCAACTTCTTCTAAGCCTGGTACAGAGCAGCAGCACCATGTCACACGGTCACGCCGAAAACATCTTCTACATTTCTCTGCTACCTCAAAGCTTTGGCTCCACCTCCGTAAACATCGTTCGAAACACCGGCAGCCTACCTGCAGTTTTAGACAAGATTAATGTCATAAAATGAGTCTAAGAAGAAGAAACTGATTGATAGTACTGAAATATTTTGGAGCAGACAGGAAAAGCACACTGAGATTTAGAGGAGAAGAAAGAGGTCATACCGTGTTTTTCCTGCTTTCTCAAAGGAGAGTGATGCCAAGCCTGGAAGTGCAAACCAACGACTAAATCCCATATCAATGTTCGCCTTGTTACATACACTTGGAAGAAATTAGAATTTGTTATCCTAAATCAAAATTTGAACTTGATCTTCACAACCATACTTCAGAGTTTCCATAACTTCATTCTAATCTCTCCAAGCCCCAAGACTGTTCACCATTTGCCAAATTCGCAGCTTCATTCCAACCTGTCAGAACACAATCGTTAATCAAAACGCCGTCAAAAAATAAAGTGAAGTTTAAGAAGAATTGATTTAAATATAACCCTCAGGTCAACTCATCATCGGACATGAGACTCGAGCGGCCGGGAGGACTATGACCGAAGCCATCATCAACTCTCTACCGAACATCGAAGACCAAATTCAGTAAAGCAAAGCAATTAAATCCCAATGGTCCAATACGATGCAAAACACAACTCCATTAAGGCAGCAGGGGCGTTCTTATTTCCCTCATGGCTCAGACCTGTAAGCCATCACTGCCACTCTGAACCCTTCTCGACGACAGCATAATAACCGACAGCTGCTGAACTTCTAACAACATCCTGAAAGAAGAAGCAAAACAATATCGAGTCATTTTCTGCAAACCATAACAGCGCAGTATAACAACATCAATAACATCAGCTACAAGCAACAATAACCATGTCAGTTCTACAGCAACAAAAGCAAGAGTAGTATGTGGCAACAAAGAACGGAAACAACAAGTACACCAGTTGCAACAGCATCAATAATATCAACCCAATATCCACAACAACAGTGATAACGACAGTTCAACATCCGCAATAGCAGGACATTGAACATTATCAATAGCGGTAGCGCAAAATAAGGTAAAGCTCGATAGTTGAGTCAAGACAAGTGTAGTCCTCAGATCACCCATCATTGGACATAACAGACAGAGTTCCATAAAATTGCTCCAAGTCATAACAGCCAAAGCCACGAGCGGCTTCAAAATTTAGGCTACGATTAACTTTCCGCAAGGCTACGGTCAGCCACAAACAGGCACATCAACTAACAACAGAGCAACATCAATGGCCTCGATTCATCACCCATGACAACGTATTGACCATGAAAGATAATTCAGAATTCGTGAGCAAAGATATAAGGGTCTTAGTCCTCAGGTTTGATTCATCACTAGGCAAGGCTCGAGTAGCCAGGAGGATAACGAGAAGCCGTCGTCAACTCCTTGCCAACTCAAGAGCGTCAATGGAAATTCAAAAACAACAAGAGGCAACCACGATCCCTCACAGGCTCAGACACAATGTCGTCATCGCCATTTCAACCCAACATCAGCCACGGCATAAGACAAGGCTAGCGTCTGAACTCGAGTACAGTTTTCTCTGCGAAGAAGAAGAAGAGAAGTATTAGCAACCCCGCAATGGCAAAGAACCAAGTCACAAGGTCAACGAAGAAAATTACAAAATCAATACAGGAAGAAGAAAGATTAGAACTTCCCTAATCAAAACCATTTTGGGCTACTATTTCCTTTGGCCCATAATCCCCTGCTTTCCACACCTGCGAAAAACGAAGGGCTTGGATTAGTAAAGAATATACCCTGTGCAGAAAATATCCCATTCAGATTCCTTCAGCATCAAGTGAATATTCCTCAAATCAAATCACACAATCTGATTTTCATCAACATAATTAAACGCAATCATCCGAAGAAGGAAAGTTTTTGAATCCAAATCACACGAAAACGGAAAGCTTTAACACCAATTAATCAAAAATCCTCTAAGGCCTATAAATTGGAAGGAAATCGACAACACTTGGGAGGATCCAGGAACAACCACAAGTTCGAAACCCTAGAAAAATCATCACGATAAAAAAACCCTAAGTGCGCGGAAGGAGATTTTGAGTAGAGAATAACTTATCTTTTTTGCTGACGAAATCACCTTCGGCCGCCGCAAGTACAAAGTCAACGAAACCTCTTCCCCAACGCTGCTATCAGCCACCTTTGGTAAAAATCCTTTTTTTATATAGAGTTATAGAACGTGTTGATTTGTTTTATTATGTTTCAGGTGGTGTAGAGGACGAAAACGAAGGAGAAGATCGAAGCCATGAGAGAGATGGAAAGAAAAGAGGATTAGGGAGAGCTAGGGGTTACCGGCATCTGCCGTTCGCATTTCCTTTTGTCTTTTGTTTTGTTTATGACTAATGGTTCCTCACCCTCACGCACCACACTACACGTATCATACACATGCCCTTAATCGCCCACATCACCCCCCACTAATTAT